AAAAGCATGAGTTCCTTAAGCGATAAAGCACTGGAAGCACCAAAGGTCTTCAAATAATCCAACACAACATGAACATCCCATATCTCAGTGTATTTTGGCAGGGATAGCTTTAATTAAAAAATGCCCTTCATGCACAGAACAACCAAACATTCCATTGCTTTCCAAAATAAGGACGGAAGACAGGGCAGAGCGGGCTGTGTTAATAGCACTGTAACCAAGACCAGCCTTGTATAAAGAGACAAGTAATTCGAGACCATTGTGTACTCCGGGTTGAAATAAATCAATATCCTTGTCATCACAGTACTGTCTCCAGCGCTTTAAATATGTGCAGTACTGCTTAGAAGTATCCTCTCTCCTAGAGGCCATAAGGACATCTTTTGCACTTGATGATAAATGGTATTTAGCTAGACTTTCCCTGATAAGAGACCAACTAGGAGGTTCATTTTGTGCCAAATTGGGTGTACTTCCTCTGGATGACTTGGTAACCGAGGTAGGTCCGCTCTTGCTTTGAGGTAAATTGGTTCCTGTTTCAGCATATCCAGAGCTTTGGGATACCAACCTTGGGCTGGCCAATCCAGAAACACAACAACTCCTAGAGCATCCTCTCTCTGTATTTTACTCAAAACTGCAGGATTTACACTAAAAGGTGGAAAGGCGTAAAATTCCAGTTTAGACCATTGTAAGGAGAGTGCATCTATTGTGAAAGCTTCAGGGTCTGGTCTGTATGAAAAACCTTGATAGAGCATTTTGTAGTGTGCCTTTATGAAGCTGCAATTCTGATTCCCTTTGGTTCCTTCGAGATTCAAAATCAGCAACAAGATTTTGTTTACCAGGGATATGGGCAACACTCAACCAAAAGTCCTTAGCTATACACCACTCCCAAATTCATTTGGCTAGTGAATTACAAGAATCGGAATGACTCGTTCCCATATGACTAATTACATTCACAACTGTGGTATTATCGCACATTACTCGAATGTGTGTGTTAACCCAGCCTTTAGCAAACGTTTGTAAGGCTAAGTAGATAGCCAGCATTTCCAGGTAGTTTATGTGGTACTGGGCTTTAACATGGGTCCAATTCTCCCCAGTGGATACTCTGTCATGTTCAGCTCCCCACCCTAAGAGGGAGGCATCTGTAATAATTTGATGTTGGGGTTCCCCATGCGATGTCACATTGTGGACAGTCATCACATTATCACACCACCACTGCAATTGACGCTTAGCTTGTTGTGAAAGAGACATGTGTGAGCATTAAAATTTCCTTTTGCCTGCTGTGAGGCAAGTGCCTGTGCTCCAAGTGCCTTTAGAACAAAGGTCCGTGCCTCACCCCAGGAAAACTAGCCACATAATTCTGCCAATTGCACTTGCTACTTCCCTTATAGATAAAGTGGTAGCTCGCAAAAACTCAATACAAACAGTTTTGAGGCCCAAAGCCTTCTCNAGAACCACACGGTTGAAGAGCCAGAAGCGTCACAACTCGACCCCCCTTCAAATCCACTTTCTCTCTCGATCTTTAGCATCAATGCACAGAAGTACCCGTTGAATTGAACAGAACCCAAATCTTAATGGAATTGGGCACCGGCGCTGGAGTTTCAATTATCTCCCAGGAGACTTACGACAGGCATTTCAAGGAGACCCCACTCCAACCCTCTGATACACGCCTGCACACCTACACACCTACACAGGGGACCCAGTCCAAGTCTCTAGTCAGTACATAGTACAACTCAAGTATCAAAATCAGCGTGTCATTGTGTCACCCCTTGTAGTTAAAGGCTCTGGACCATCACTCTTTGGAAGAAATTGGCTCTCTCGTGTCAACCTGGATTGGAAGAAAATATGTAGCATCCATGTCTCAGACCCATGCCTCACACCGGAGGTCAAGTCACAATTGCACAACACAGTCCAGTGTCACTCTAATGTCTTCAAGCCTGGCCTTGGTACTATTTAGGGAATCACAGCTAAATTGGAGATGAAGCCGGATGCCCAGCCAAAGTTCTGCAAGGCCCGCCCAGTGCCTTGCGCTCTCCAGGAAGCAGTAGATGCAGAGTACCACCGACTCGAATCCGTAGGTATTGTGGAAAAGGTTGAATTCAGTGAATGGGCAACACCCATGGTTCATATTCCCAAGGCGGATGGCACCACACGGTCATGTGGAGGCTATGCTGTTATGGTCAACCCCCAACTCAATGTCCCTCAGTATCCCATTCTCCTGCCTGAGGATGTATTTGTCAAGTTTCGAGGCGGAAAGTTCACTAAGCTTGATTTAAAGAATGCTTATCAACAACTCCCATTGGATCTTGACAGTCAGCAGTTCGTAACCATCAACACACATCGTGGCCTATATCGGTATAAAAGGCTACCGTTTGGTATTGCCTCATCCCCAGCAATTTTTCAGCGGACCATGGACATCATTCTTCAAGGTCTTGAGCATGTCGCAGCCATTCAAGATGACATTCTGATCACGGGCAAGGATGATGAACAGCATATCCAGAATCTGAACACAGTTCTCAGTCGCTTAGACAGTTACAGCTTGCGACTCCAGCTCAACAAGTGCAAGTTCATGCAGCGGTCAGTAACCTACATGGGCTGCGTCATTTCTGCTGAAGGAATTTCTCCAACGGAGGATAAGGTTGAAGCCATAAAGAAAGCACCACGCCCTGAAAACTGCACCCAATTAAGAGCCTTCCTGGGAATGATAAACTACCACAGGAAGTTCATCCGCAATCTGAGCTCAATTCAGCAATCAGCCCCTTCAGAAAGATCAGTAGTTCCTGTGGTCCCCCCAGTGCAAGGAGGCCCTCAACAATGCAAAAGAATCTCTCTCTTCCTCCCATGTGCTGGTGCATTACAATCCTAGACTCCCAGTGATTCTTGAAAGCCAATATGGTATAGGGGCTGTCATACTTCACCATTTCCCCAACGGAGATGAGAGACCAATCGCATATGCCTGAAGGTCCTTAAATTCATCTGAGAAGAATTACAGTCAAATAGAGAAGGAGGGCCTAGAATTTTATGTTCTTAAAACAAATTACTATCAGACCGCTGATTTCCAACTTTCTTAGTAATCTTGCCAATGTGTTTACTAAAATTCATAGATGTTATTGACCAGCCGGAGGTCCGTTTTGGGAAAAACTGTGCCCGAGGTCTTAGATACCCCAAGGGCGTTACTCAAGACAGAGGGGACAGTTTTTCCCAATACGGACCGACCTATGCTGGTCAATAACATTTTTATTTCTTTCTTACACAAAAAAATGATTGCGACAAGAACCCGAATGATTTAGGGCAACAATTACGAATTTAATTACGGGAAAATCCGCCATTAACTTAACAATTTGATAGCGAGTGGATGATAAAGAAAACAGACGTTATCCAAAGTAAAGAGAAAGCTTTCACCGAAACATTTTTATTTGTAAAAGTAACTTAAGTAAGAGTCTGCGTAAGAACGATAGCGATCTGTGGCAATGCATGTGCAGTAGTGATCAGTATTAAAATTGGAAAATCAATTAATTCTAGCTCTGTGGCTGGCTAAAACGCAACTTTTTCCGATTTCTTTACGAAAATGTCCGAAAAATTATAAATCCTTTGTGTTTTTGATGAGCTTTACGTCATGTCAATTGTTCCGGAGAATATCGATGCGTATGTGGACAGTTTTCCGAGAAATCGTAGTTGGCGACTGCCATATTGGATCCTTCCGAGATTGAGACTCACCTTGTTCGCTCTCTAAACAATCTGTCTTTTAACGTGTCGAAAATGAGTTTTGATTTGTTATTCTGTGTTGAAGATTTTTTAGGTTTTTGTGCCGTCTATTTTGTTTTGTTTTCGGGCAATGCCCCCAAAAGCTGTGTGTTCGTGCGCCAAGCATGAGGAATGGCATTACACCGAGCAAATCGAAATGCGAGTTGCGAATTTTCACGAACTAAACTTCTGCTCTGCTGATACAAAGCATGGAAAGAGGAAGAGGCATATTTGTGTTGCTTGCCAAGGTCGCATTAGTGTGGAGGAAAAATGCCGAAAATTAACAGCCGAGGAAGGGAAATTTTGATAAAATATTGGGCTAACTAATACACGTTTAAATAACACTTTCGTATTTATTTATTTATTTATTTATTTAATCGCTTTCACCATACTTACAATACTAAAAAGACTAAAATATACATATGAACAAGACACAGAAGAGGACAAGGGTGCGGGACACACAACAGAGCGAGGCTCCAAATTAAGTGTGCCCTTACGAGAAATATACAAATACTAACTATGTAAACAGTAGACAGTGTAAAAAGTATATAAAAATGTATATAAAATAATAAAAGCAAAAACGAAAACGATAGGAGTAAATCCCTTATGCGGCCGATAGAAAGTCCTAATAGCAGCAGTTACCAACTAATAGAAGATCACGTGACCTGCTGCATTTGCAGCAGATCGACTTCCAGGTGTTGAAGTTAGTGACGTCATAGTTTGTACGAAAAGCAGCGGAATAGCGTTGGAGTACGTGAGATTCTTTCAGAAACTCCAATTACAGTAAAACTGTAATTCAATTCATCTAACAAGTGCACCTGAAGGTTTTCAAGGTTTCGTCTTAAACTTCTTACGTTACTATGAGGCAAAGAGAAATTTCCTTCGTTGCGAGGTAGCTTTTTTTTTAAGAGGTTAAAGCTATGTGGCGAATGATAGTGGCTCTCGTTGTTATCAGAAAACAAATCAGAATTGGGGTTTATACCATCATGTTTGTAGATTTAAACAGAACAGATCTAAATCATATAAACTTGAAAGTTTATTTAAATACTTCTTGGTAGGCAAATTATTGTTTGTGATGTTATTAAATCAGCATTGCAAAGCCATATGGACAATAGGTATAAACGATCTCTTCTAACGACTATGTTAAATCGTGCACACCGACTCTCATCTTTATCCGACGTTTTCGCTGCCGAATGTGACAACCTGAAAGAGATCTTTCTCAAGCTTAAGTACCCAGAGAGACTCAGTAACTTTACAATCACCAGATTCATCGAGTCTCAAGAACGAAAACAGGCGCTTAATGTTAATAAGCCCGTTCGGATCAGTATACCATTTAAAGATCAACGGTCAGCCGACTTAGTACGAGGACAACTATGCGATCTCGAGAAGAGAATTAACAGCGATCTCTGCCCAGTGTTTACGAGCAAAAAAAGATTTTCTGATGAGATCAAAGTGACGGAATCCAAACCACCTCTTGTTAACGAACAATGCGTTGTTTATGAATACAAATGTGATCTCTGTGACGCAGATTATGTCGGCTATACGTGCCGACACCTGTTTCAGCCCATCAATGAGCATAAGCATTCTGTCATTGGTAAACACGTACGGGACGTACCCAATCTTAGGATCAAAGATCTTCGTGACCAATTTACCATCCTCAAGAAATGCCATCGGAAGCTGGATTGTTTAATTTATGGAATGCTTTTCACCAAAGACAGAAAGCTAACACTTAACACTCAATCTGACTCCATCAAAGCAAAACATTTTATCTAACAGTTCAAGCGCATCCCGCTGGTATTTTATTCACCTATGTTTATCTTTTATTTATCGTTTTTATTTCTTAATCAAATGCACTGAGACCTTCACACGTACTTTTTCTATATAATGAACTCACAAAATGTATTTATTTGAATTTGAGATTGATGGCATGGAGCTGTCAAAACATCATTCTTTTAATATCGGTGGTTTTTATCCTTAATTGCTTATGAAAACAATATCCAGGAAAAAAAGTCAGTGCAGAGAATCATGGAGCTTAGGTCGCACAATATTTATTAGTATGCCGAACCCAGTCTTCCTCCTAACATGTCTCTTGAATATTTTTGATATCAGCGAATTCGTGGTCAGATGACATTTCAGTATTATCCTGAATTTAGGCCTGCGATAGTTAACGAGGCCATTTTTGGCATCAAATGTTAGTGTTTCCGGAACAATACTTAGTTCGGCCGAACTTTCACTTTCCTGTACGCTCATTTTAGAAGTAGCTTATCCCTTTTTAATGAAAACAAATAGGCCTTACAATTGTATTTTCATTTACGGCGGCCCCGTGCAACGCAATATCGTGGGAGGATCAAGCTGACATACTTTGATTTGGATCCAATCTCCCCACTTCAACTCTCCTTCAAAGGTTATTACTGTCACACGCCTCAATTACGGAAAGAGAAAGTATCCCAGTTTGTAATTCCGCCTCAAAATGCCTCGGCTTCCGTTTGGTGGGAATATGTGACGAGACTTCCACAAATTCCTGAGTAACTGCCTAACAGTGAAGATCAAGTTAGGAAGTTTTCCAAGTTTATTTAGGAATAATCACCAACATTAGATATACAGGATACATAAGCTTGCTACTAGCAACATTTAGGGGAGGCGAGTAGTGTTGAAATAATTTTCCTCCTCAATAGGGACCTCTCCGGAATCCCAGAAATAGGTTTGCTGAGTGCCCCTTCCTGGTTTTAACTTTAGTGTTAGACCTTTTGTAAGTGTAAATACAATGCCTGATCTTGTTGGTATTAAAATGAATTCCATAGAGACAACTGGGAGTAAACAGAACGCAGCTGGTAAACTGTGAAGTCGTAGGAAATGACAAATTTTTTTCTTGATTTTACAACGGTGTTTCAACTTGATTCACGATTTAATTCGATACAAATCCCACCCCAATTCTTCTTACAAATTGCAAGTGTTAAACTAGTGATATAATTGAGCTTTAACTGCGTGTACTTCTTTAATCTTTAGAAATGGTGGAAACGAAACGGTGTTATAGAGGTGTGAAGTTGCCTAACAAGTTCATTATAGATCGCTTCAGTGGATTTTAACGAGCGCATTCGATTGGCTTTGAGTCTTTTTGTCGACAACGGTTCACCTAATTCACGTGTGCTGGGACTTAACCCCGAATTCTATTAATAACACACCACGCCTAGATCTTCAGTGTGGTCACAGTCGTGTTCTCCCCACTCTTCGTGCTCACAGTTGGACACTGAAACCTCTTGCCCTTCACAATGAACGTCGTCCAACCAAATGGGATCGATACCTTCGCCGTACGCTGCACAGCACACTGGCTTTCCTAGAGAACCATTGAATCCAAGTTGGCGACATAACACGTCGGCAGCCTCTTTTTGCTGGTTATCATCACACACTGTACCCCATGTTGCATTGTGATAAACCTCTATGCGACCGTAGCTTGATCCCCCGTTCACTAAACGAAGGAGGGATGAACCAAAAGAACATTGCACACCGGCGGCCTCTCTATGAATGCAATTATTGTTTTCCCAGCCGGTGTGGTTGCATTCATAGAGAAATGATTCATTTCCTAAGCACCCCGCTTTAGTCATCCATACGATGCCATTTTCTTCTCCTCGAGAAGCGTTTCCGTAAGCTTTGGTAACCTGAGGGAAGCCCAGCTGCCTGCAGACTACCGTCGCGTCCTGGATGTCCCAATCATCGCTGCAAATGGTGCCCCACTTGTCATCATGAAATATTTCCACGGTTCCAGTTAATGGTATTTCACTTCTTTTAAGGCGAATGGAACCCTCTGTAATTGCTGTTTCAAGGTTCAAACGAAAGGATAAGTCCATACAACGATAGGAAAGTAGCACAAGCATATAAAATATTATGTCGGAAATAGTACGTTTTGACTTTGCAAGTCCTCCCTCATGCACTACTTCCTATTGAAACTGCATCTCTTTGGAGTGAGGAGTCCAACAGTTATTTACAGGAAGTACCAACCCGTGGGGTGAAGCAGATAAACATAACTTAAAACTAAAGAAAATGGAGAAACACAGAGAGATAATTTAGGCGTTGTGCAGGATTTGTAGGTTTCCCGTGAATGATTATTATTATCATATATACAGT